AGAATATGACTTTGCCTAAGGAGCCAAAATGTCTCGAGCTGGCCCTGTACACAGCACTCTAGTTCCTAAAGGATAAAGAAAGGGAAATTTAAATTAAATGATGCTAGAGAAATCAGCTGATGATGACTGTAACAAAGAAAATAGGTTATTAAAATATGGGTTATGTACATGTGCTGATTTATAAAAGAAAAAAGGTTTATTGCATATTTGCTGAGAGTCACTTTGTGTTTATAATGATTTTATGGGGAGCAAGTTAATGTGAAGCATGTAGAAGTATGGATCCACAGGTTTTGCTTAACTTCGCAATCCAATCCCAAACCTGAGAATACCAGACTCTCTCTTGTCTTCAAGGAGCCACATGCTTCACCCATGCACCAGGGTGTCAAAATGTTCAAGAAGGTGGATGTGGCATTGCAATTCAAGCTCTGCCCCTTTTCCATGTCTCTAGGATTCCCCATGGGAGGTGCTGATATAGACTGTTGGATTGCCTGCAAAGAGATTGCATCCTTTTCCACTTGTTCTTTTTGCTCCTGTTTCATAGCTTGGCTTGACACCATATGGCCAAGGTTCTCCTGAAAAGTTAGCCATGCAGCTACCAAATAATGTTCGGTTTTCCTTTCGACCTTAATGCTGGAGAGGGTCCAGGGATCACAATTCAACTGCTATGATGACTTCTGCCCACCTCTGTACTTTTAAAGTTGGAAGGATGCACAGCTGCTTATTAATACACACTGCCCTCCCTATTTTAAATGTGCTGAGCTAAATTGTTAAAGCCTGTAGAAGTGTTATAGAAGATATATTTAAATGGAAGAATTAACCTAAACATAGAAATGAATTGGAAATAAGTGTCATGGTTTTCAAATCATATATCCTATAAAATAAGAGTATTTCTATATATGGTTCATTGGAAAGAAAAATAATATTTAATTCCTATCCTAGATATAAACTGGAAAGCTTCTAAGATTTATGGTGGGAATAAGATGCAACAGCTGCATTTTTTCTTGACTGAAATCTTGAATACAATTTGGATTATGGTCCCTGGGTTGGGGGTGGGGGGGTGGTTGTCCATATTATCTGAAGCTCCTTCAAATAAAAAAGGAGGTGGAAACAGCAATATGCTGTAAGGGAGAGCTAGTGATATGCCTCAGTGATAAACACCTTTTTGAAACATAAAATAGTCAACATATATTAAACTAGGAATTGGATTTTATGGTAGTGAGTGGGAGTCATGTTAGAATAGTGTTTACCATCAATGTTAATGCCATCTCTAAATTTACAAACAAACTCTGAAAATACTTTTGTTTTATCTTTTATTCCCTTAACCATTGTAAGCACTATCGTGAAGAAACCCTGACAGTTAGTTTTCATTCGTGATAAAGGTGCTCTTTGAAGTTGAAGTTGTTTTCTTTGAAAATTGTTCAGGAGTTTAATGCTTAAGACTGAACATTTCTTAACAAAATGTACTCCCTCCCAATTTTCCTTCTCTCTTTCAAACATATGCAAACAATAGGCCCAAACCTATTTCCAAAATAAGTAATTTCTAATACAGCTAGGATTAGGCGGTCATAAAAAGGATATCCAAATCCACCAATTTATATTGGATGATTTGGCTTTCGTTGTTGAAGTATTTAAATCAGAAAGTCTATGGTATGTGTTCACTCTAGTGGATGTATTGTTTCAACTTTTATCTTCAGGCTGCCGTATTGAATAACATCCCAATGGAATGCTAATTGAAACTATTTTACTACAGATTTAAAGAGTACTCTTCAAAATATAATATCCTCTATATATATATTTGCTAAAGTTATATTTAATGTATTAACATTGCAAAAAGTTTATGAAGAAGTACTAATATAACATGGGGACAGTTATATTTGAAATGTGTTCAGATGCATTCATTTAGATTTAGAATAGTTCAAAACAAATGATTAAACTATGATTCTGAGGCAGAAGCAGGGTTTTACTCATTACATATTTGGTGATGACATTCCTTGATGAGGCATTTGGCTTCTGCTCTCTCCAAACCAAGTTGTCAGTTTGTATTTTAACTACATGGCACTGACCTAAACAGTGATTTATAAGGTTCTTTTATAAACTAGGTTGTGAAACCAGCTGAAAAATTGGCTAAATTTGTTTAGAAGAACCTAAATTAACAGTAATCATGGTTAATATCACCATGAAGTAGCCCTTGATGATAGTTACATTATGAGTAAGGATTGTAATGGGAAAAGGCTGAAGAGGAAAACAATGTGAAAACCTGTTATTTATCTTCTCTTAATGCAGCTGAAATATCAGACTTTATATTTCATCTTAGTTCCTGCAGATTGCCATACAAATTAGAATGTAGTTACTGTATATCATATAGCACACAGAGATCCAAGTGCACTGAATTCATACAAAGAGGCAAAATTCCACACATAATTGCTTGACACTTGATGTTTTTTCTTTGCTTAAATAAAATATAGTCACCATACAGCCCTTCTGGTGTTGTTGAACTCCACTTCCCATCAGTCTTAGGGAGAGCAGCCAGTGCTAAAGTGCAATTCGAACTGTAATCCAGAACATCCAACGGGCCAGAGAAAAAGAGCATCACACAATTCTATTTTATCGGGTGAATTATTATCAAGGAGTTCACAGAAGTATATATTTCTCTATATTTGTCACAGCAGTTATATTTTCTTGACAGACAGCATAATACTCACACAAGCCAATATGAAGTATGTCTTCATTTTCCAGGTCTGGATGTTGATGGAATATACAGAGTCAGCGGCAATCTGGCAACGATACAGAAGTTACGATTTGTTGTCAATCAGGGTAAGTGATTCCTTTGCCCTGCAATGTTTTGTTTAGTACTTATCAGTCTGAAATGACAATACAATGGATTTTAGAAGCTGTGGTACATTAGTGGTACAGAATGATGAGTGGCATTTAACAAAAGAGAAGAGAAGAAGTGAACAGACACAGCCAATATTTAGAGAACAGTTTGGAAGAGAGGAGAGATATGCAATCATCAAATTTTAAAGAAAAAGATAACAAAACCAAAAAAAAAAAAAAAGGCAAAGGGAGAACAGAGCTTTTCAGAGGATAGAAGTAACACTGCAGAATCAATTGCAAAGCATAAAGCCATTTGAATATACATGGAACAATTATACGTGGAGGGGGAAGGAACTATAAGTAAGGTACTTTGGAATAATATGATATGGAGAAATAAAGGAATAGAGAAGATAAATTTAAGCTTTTAACAATTTTACTGATTTTCTGCAATACTAAAAAAATAGATCTACTGTTCTTCAACATATGCATAAGCCAGTCTTAGATAATAAGAAAACAGATCTCCAAGACTTTAATGATCCTGCTGACTCACACACAGCCCAAGGCACCATTATATAAAGGTTCTACTAGGCCAGAAATGTGTGCATGATCATTTGACCCGAAAGAAGAGTATCCTTGGCAAGAATAGAATAGCACACAGAATGAATGAAAGAATTTTTATTGAAGTCCAGATGTTGAAGAACAGTAACTGGCAAATGTCACTGGGTAACCTTCCTAATTAAAAGACAACGCACATTAGTATTGGAACCTATTAATGCCACTGGTGTTACAGTCTGTATAAGATAAAATAGAAGCTACAGTTAAGAGAAGGAAGGTTTAAATGATAATTCTAAATATTCTCTGTTATTAAATCCTTAGGTATAGTTCAACTTAAAGGCAAAAGACCAAACAATCATTTGGAGAAGGAACAGCCTATATTCCTGGCAGTTTCTTAACACTCAATTTTTTTTTTAAGAAAATGAAATTTACAGTTATAATGGCTCTAAATCTGAAACTGTGGGAGGCTTGGATGATTAGCCTGTTTTGAAATTGTGGCATATTTTTTTCCATTTATAATCTTTCTTTCATCTTTATTATAGGTCTTGGCCTTTTAGCTAAGAGCAACTATAGAATTATATTTATTAAAAGCTATGAAATAAACAACACAGCCTTTTAAAGTGTAACTGGGAAATTGTTCATAGAACCTCTGCAGTGTCATTTCATTTCATCTAGATCCTTCATTTTAATAATCCTTCCCCACTCTGCTGCGCCTCCGGTATCTGAGATTAGACCTCCCATCATACCTAGCTAGTGTGGTCACTGAGAGCACCAAGCCAGTGTAGGCTGACTTAAAACATCTTTATCTTAATAATTGTGTCTTTAGTTTCTTTATGCTCAGAATAAAATAATATTTTTATCATCCTGATTCATTCAAGAATGAGTTTAGTTTAGTATGAATTAAGTTGTCAGATTAATGCGTCTCAGCTGCCATTTTTCTACAGTTCTTTATGGGCTGTTCAGGCAGTAGCTTGAACTGGAAATCTGTAGTGGCTCAGACAGATTTGTCCCAATTCACCACAGCTGGCTAATGTTTAAAACCCTCAAAGCTGGCTAATGTTTAATACCCCCAAAGTTGCACACAGGTGAAGGGTCAAGAGATGGTCAGTGGAGAACATGACCAGACATTCCCAGGATCCCTGAGCCAAAAAGCAGCTGTCCCTTGCTTCACACAGAGGAATTGTTCATACCTTTTCTTTGTGTGATCCCAGATATACATATAGATAATCACATGGGGTCTCTTGTCAATGGAGAATACTTTTACGGTAGCCAAATCCTGGAAAGGCCCTTCATATTACTGTTAAATCCATAACAGTTTAATATTGTTGATCTTACTGGCAGGTATCTATTGTGTTACATTACAGTAAAAAGGAGCTTCTGTTAAAGTCTGTTCTTGCTGACTACATGGATTCATCATCCACATTTTCTTGGCAACAGAGCAGAAATGACTTATCATTGTCCTCTTCTGGGATTTTTTTTTTTTCAATTTCCAAATCTAACATATAGCACTAAGATTTCCTAGTGGTTTCCTACCCTAAATATTTACGTAGTTACAAATCATTGTAAATTGGCTTGTTTGGCTTTATTGGAATGTGTGTTCAGATAGCCATTTGTAGTCACTGATTGGATTTTCTGTTCTTGAGACTATTTTACCTTTGGATTTGTTATGTAATAAGAAATACAGTGAAAGGGTAAAATCATGCTACTGCTGTTTGCTGCTCCCTCCCCTCCGCCCCATCGAAGGCAAAGGAAGTTCATAGACATATGGTATATTTCTTTCTAAATAACAACCAAAAGGCCTTTAAAATTAGTTGGGAGGAAATTCCAGCAAGCATCAAGTTCTTCCCCAATGTAACTCCACTGAAGTTTATTTTAAACATGTCTGTGAACTGATTATCAAATGTATGCAAAGGATTTCATTACACTGATTTTGATAGAATTGCACTAGGGATAAATTAGCGTACTGCTTCTCTATATCAGATTGAATTGCCAAACCCATCTGAAGCTACCAAGTTAGTAAAAGTCATTCAACTTAAAAAAGAAAGGGAGAGTCAAATCTCTTATTTTGCCATGCAAACTCTAGTCACATAACTTTTCTTACTGTTCCCACAAGTCCTGTTTCAGATTCTCTGTCCTCATTGCCACTTTATAGTACTGGGGGAGAGACCAAACTACTGTACTTGATCAGTCATCTCTTAATGCTCACTTGCTGTCCCCTTCTTTCGTCATGCAAATTGTGGTGTATAACAAACTAAGTTGCACAGTAGCTCGGAAATGGAATCTTCTTTGTTCTTTGTCTATTTTTGACATTGAATACAAAGGTGCTTGGTGTTCAGAGGAAAATAAGGAGCAAGTCAATAGAATTTTTGGCTGGGACAAGGCAAAGTCTGTAATCTCCCACATTATGATAAGAAAAAAATCAGACCAAGATGGGGGGGGGGGACTAGAGATATGTAATATTCACAAAGATCAGCCAACATAATAGGTGAGTTGATAAAAATTCTGTATTTAGTCAAGCCTCTTTTTTCTAAACCATGTATAAATGAGGGATCTATTTGAGTAATTTCATAAGATTGGAGTGATGCTTTTATTTATTACTGCAATAGTACACAAGTTTAGTACTGAACAAAGTTTATTTGCTGCAAGATGGCTGTTAATTTATTCTGTGTGGAATCTACACTTCTTCTAAAAAACACTGGACATCATTCCATCTACAAGACAATAAGCAGAGGAGAAGGGGGAAAAAGGGGGCAAGCAATGTCATGGCCCAAGAACAAAAGGCAGAGTATGCATCGTGACATTACATGCCATGTTTCATCATTTTGATATCTTCATAGTTGTAGATGCCTCTGAGAATAAGTCTTTCTAATCAAAATGGCTGGATAGATTTAAACACAAGTTTTTCCATGTCCCAGATACATGTGTCACATACTATTTTTTTAAAAGGTACCCATGAATAGTACATTAAAAAAAACAAATTCATTTCATTGAGCCTGTAATCTTGAACCATAGCTGTGCATCTTAAATGTTATAGGGAATGTTTTAGAATTTAAATCTATCACACTTTTTTTTATAGAAAAGAAAGTGGATCTCAGATCAAAACATTATCTCTATCTCTTAACTTTGACTATATCTTTAACTGTGACTTAGTGTTTTTGCTGTACTTGGTAAGATAGGAAGATGAATAAAGGAAACCAACTTGGGGGTGGAGGTAGGAAGGAGTAATGAAGAAAAAATATATATAGTTGTTATTTTTTATTGTTAAACTTTCTTTAAAAAGTGTCTTCAAATATATATTGAAAAGTCAATGAAAACACTTCTATATATTTGATCTTTTCTTTTGATGGTTGCTATGGCTGTTTCATATTTGACAACACTGACTACAAGACAGCTAATACCTTAGTTTTCTGTATATATAGAAAGTCCCTGAAGTTATACTTAAAAAAAAAAAAAAAACTTCCCGGTGGCAAGATTACATTTTGTATATTTTTTTTCTATTAAAAACCAAAAATATCTTGATTACAAGAGATCAAGATTATAATATATTTTAATACTGTGTGCAATTTTTCATACATAGCAGCTAAATTGATTCAGATAAATAAGAGGCATAAAAAATCTTAGTGACAATATTTTAAGTGTGGTGTTTCAAAACAAAATGTCAGTAATGGTGAGTTTGAACAGGAATAACGGTGTGAGTTAACATTCCAGTAAGAATATTCAAAAGACCCCTGGATTTCAATATTTGCACAAAATGTTATAATTCTTATATTACAGAAAAATTGTATACAAAAATGTATACTGAGGAAAGCAAGCATAAAAATGTATAGACTGTTGAAAAATGCATATGTTTTGGAAAATATTCACAGAGTAGGAGCAGATCAGAATAAAAGTTAAATGGGAAAAATTAGAAGAACTGAAATTGAAATAATTATTCATTTATGCTGTTTCCTCAGCAATGGTATTTAGCCTATTTATAAACTGTGTGATTGATCCATTGGGGAAAAAAACATTCGTATCAGCTCATGCTTATGCTATTCAATATTATATTGAAAAATCAAGAACAATTGGGAAGGAAGGCCAAGAGATGCAATTTCACCAAGTGAATAAGGTTGTTCTTAAAAACTGAGGACTAACACATGTATTCTACAGCCTGTATCGGACTGGGAATATACTGATTGCTACCATTTATTTAGTAAGCTAGTTATTAGATTTTTTAATACCCAACCCTCCTACCCCAAAATTGTCTTCAAGGAGCCAATAAAAAAGAATAAAACACAAAGCAATTTAATTAAAATGCAATTAAAATATAATTCAATAATTACAAACTGAAAACTTAAAATAACTATTTTCTAATGTTAAAACCTGATTTAAAATATTCAAAACACTAAATTAAAAAGATACATCTTGTCATCCTTTTTGAATACATAAATTCGGGACTAACTGCAATTCTAAAAGGAGTGTGTTTCAGTTTGAAAGTGACTTATTTATCTATCTATCTATCTATCTATCTATCTATCATATTTATATAGCCGCCCATCTCACACAAGCTGACTCTGGGCGGCGTACAACAATTTAAAAAAATAAATACATAAAAACAACTACATACAAAAAAAAAAAAAACAGACTTAGGAATGAACAGTCTCCCATGTACCTGACAAGCAGTCATTTGCTTAAATGGGCCTCTCCTGTAGATCTTCTTATTTGGAGAGGCTCAGAATAACAGCTGATATAGTCCTTCAGACAACCAAGGCTTAAATAACTTAGGACATTAAAATGTAAAATGAATACCTTACTATAACCCTGGAAAACGACAACAAATCAGAGCAGATGTATGCGATTAGGTCTCAATATAATGTTCTGGTTTGCTACATGCTCTACCAAATCCTCAGGGATTTGTATAGAGTTTATTTTAGTAAATTAGTTATGTTGCAACACAAATATGGCAACTCTTGCCAGAGCCAACCAACTCAGAACTTGTTCCTGTATGTCCACTAAATCTAATTGTGCAGATGCCTGCCAATCTAACAATGTAATAGGAGGACTACAAGGAGCTGTAATAGGCTAACTTATCTATCCACTGAATTGGCAGTAACTATCCCCTTGTATTCTCAGATTGGGCTGGTGCAAGGTCTTCCTGTGACTGTTTATACTGTAGGGTCAAGAAATTTGCCCCTTTCATATAAAAATTTTACCTAGGTAGCTGCTCATTTCCCTAGTATCCAAGCAGTAACAACAAGAGTCACTTTATGTGAGAGGGGCGACTACATAAATACAATAAATAAATTTTAAAAAATTGATAATTTCTTCTTAGAACTAGATTCTGTTCTCAATATGGAACTAGATTTAAGGTGAGTCTGTGCTAGATGGACTAAAAGAGACAATACCTGAGTTAATATTC